CCAGATGCACTTCCAGTCATTTAAAACAGGAGGAATTTTGTTATCACTTTCTTCCTCCTCTTCCAGAATATCACCTCCTGGAGGAGCCCACAACTGAATAGAATCAGTTGCTGTCAACAATCTGTTATCTGAAAATTCAAGAATATTCTGATAAATAAGCAAAGATAAATGGGAAAGAAATGCTTTTGTTCAGGTCTGGGAACTATTATATGAAAAACACACATTACTGTCTATGAAAAACATGTGGTGTTATCTAATTAAAATTAGCTCCTATAAGAAAAAGAGAATCCATAAGACAATTAAGAATAATTCTTGAGAAAGACTTGTGAAAACTCTTACAAGGCAAAAAACAAAAGCTTACAAGGCAAAGAGTGGTTGCCCTTTGTATTAATCAAACCTTTTTTAAAAAACAAAAAGCTCTGCCTACACAGGATGTTAAGATCTAAGAATAGTGGTTTGGAGCCAGTCTGGACAGACAAATCTGTGAGACTCTTATTTCCAAATAACCAACAAGAAACTGGAAGTGGAGGTATGGCTCAAGTGGTAGAGCTAAAAAAGCTGAGCAAGAACTTGAGGCCCTGAGTTCAAGTTTCAATACCATAAATGAATGAATGAAAAAATAAATAAAATAAAAGCCAGTGTGGTGATATCCATTAGTCATCCCAGCACGTGGGAGACAGAGGCAAGAAAATGGCAAACTTTGAGGCTAGGCTGGGCTATACAGAGAGACCCTGATGAGAAAAAAAAAAAAGAAAGAAGGGGATAGATAACCTAGAAAAGGAAAAGAAGGAGAGAAGAAGGGAGGGAAAGTAGAATAGCAAATCCTCCAAACTCTGGCATTTTCAGGATATGCTAAAGACATAACTAAAAAATTCAAAAAAAATTTTTTTCTACATGGAATATATTATAATCCTCAGTAACTGTGAATGTAAAAGAAAATAAAGTTACAACTTCAGAGGTTCCTAATCTTTAGAAATTAAAGCTTTTTTTTTTTTCCCCCCAGTCCTGGGGCTTGTACTCAGGGCCTGGCACTGTCCCTGAGCTTCTTTTGCTCAAGGCTAGCACTCTACCACTTGAGCCACAGTAACACTTCTGGCTTTTTCTGTTTATGTGGTACTGAGGAATTGAACCCAGAGCTTCATGCATGCTAGGCAAGCACTCTACCACTAAGCTACATTCCCAGCCCTAAAGATAGTATTTCTTTTAAAACACCGAAGAGACAAAAGAGTAAACTAATCCCTATACCAAGCAATGTGTATAAAGACAAAAAAAGGTATAGTCACTCATCAACAAAAGCAAGCATAGCATTCATCACTTTTTTATTTAAAAAAAAAATCACATGGTAATCGTATATTTAAAACAGGGTTTCATTTATATAATTTTTAAGTATAACTGCTACATACCTTGAGGGTCCCAAGCTAAGTTGTAAGTCACAGAACTCAAAAAAAACTGCCCAGTTTTAAGCCACTGACACTTGAGTTGCTAAAACAGAAGAAAAAAATATGCTTTTAAAGCATCCAAAATCTTGACCATTTTATTTAACTGAAGACCATATGATCTAAATATGTTTCACAATTACTTTCAAAAACTGTTAAAGTAACTTACAATGGTGGCATTCTACCAGACTTAGCTGCTTGCCACACCCAAAGTACTTTCTCTCTGCCTTCCCTCTCTGTTTCCCTTCTTTCCTTCCCTCTCTACTAACTCCCCGGCTTCACAAAGATCTAGCTCAATCATCATCTCTGCTAAGAAACCTTCTCCGATCTCCTGCCAACACCCAAGCTTCTCTCCATTATGCCATTACAAGTGCATCACACAGGATTTTGTCTATATGTCTGAGATTCCTATTAAATTGCAGCTCTTTAAGGACAAGAACAATGTCATAAAAATCTTTGTATCTTCAGCATTTGCAATACTAGCTAGCTACACAGATGCTCAAAAATGTTTTATTAAAGCCAAGTATACATTAGAAAGAAATGCAAATTATCAGGGAGGGAAGGGATTGTAGGGGAAAAGCAAAAGAGGAGGTAACAATATTCAATAGGAAATGTACTCATTACCTTACTCATGTAACTGCAACCCCTCTGTACAGTAACTTTACAATAAAAAATATATACAAAGAAATAAAGTAGTTCAACATCTTCTCTGCTTAATGTAAAAAAAAAAAAAAAAAGAAATGTAAATTATCCTAATCCTAAAGGCTCATGATCCAAAAGAACACTGGATATACCTCCTAAGCAATCCTATATGATTTAAGCCCATGAATTCAAAGTCAGACTAGGCAAATAAGTGATACCTGTCTCAAAAAAATAAATAAGCCTAGCACCAGTGTAATTCTAGCTATTCAGGAAGCTGAGATTAGGTTCAAAGCTAGCCCACTCAGAAAAGTCTGAGAGACTTCATCTCCAATTAATCAGCAAATATTCAAGTGGCAGAGCATAAGCAAGCTAAGTGAAAGAATAAGACCTTGAGTTCAAAAGTTAATGTAGTAATTTTTAAGAGTTGATATTCCTAACCATATCAAATTTTCTGAATATTACCTAAGATTAAAATACAATATCCAATATAAATAAGAATGGTTCTCAATGTGGTGTGCTAGACCACTTATTGGTAAATGAATTTGCTAATAAGCCTTAACTCCATGAAGTTCATGTTTAGGAACTCAATGTCTCAGATACTAATCTAACTACATGGGAAGTATCAGCAAACAAAAGAAACAAAACGCATTGGAGCTTACATTCTAAATAGTAAACAATAAATAAGCAAATAAAATAAATTTTCTGGAAGAAAGTTTAAGACACAAAGAGAAGGAGTTACAAAAAACCTAAAAAAAATCTAGCCCTAAAGTGACACAGAAAAAAATTCCTTAAATTGGAGAGTGTCTGAGGGGCAGTGGAAATTCTAGAATGTCTTATGTGAGTCACATAGGACAGTAACATAATGTGTTGCTGTAAGTGCGGTGCTAAAGGATGGAGGATGGAGTATTTTAAAACTTTTTAAGCATTGAATCTGAGTTTTTAAGAAGGTTTTAAGAAAAGTGTCATCTTCTTCTCTACTGATAATAAAAGTGGGGAGAGGGATTAGAGCCAGATATTAAATATCAGGCACAGACTAGTAACCACAAAAACTAGTTCTGACTACATTACCTGCCACTTTAATGACCACAGGAAATAGTAGATAGTAATACTGTAGAAACTTGGGTTTATAAAAGGTCTTTACTAATTTTACAGATATTCTACCCCACTGTTAGCACCAGATCCTACGGCACTTTTTATTGTTATTACTAGGCTCTATAGAATTAACAAGTCAAATGAAAATATGTCAATACTAAAAATACTGAAACAAAAAAAAAATTAATCATATTCTAAAAGTGTTCTAAAATCAGTTAATACTTACACTATTTCTCTTATGAGAATTTATGCCCAGGGGCTCAAAAATACAAACAGCATTACCATATGAAGCTGCAACCTAAAAAATAGTAATAATCAACATAGCATTGGTATTCAGAAAAGGATAAAGTAACTCTTCTCACAACAATGTAAAACTTAATTTTAATCATCTCAATATAACTTCATAGTTATTTTTTCAATAAATTTGAAAGTATAATAGATTTAATAATTTCTTCTCTGTATGAGAAAATTCAGCAGGCTTTATTTTAGAAATACAGTGTTTACTTCTTCAAAGAAATCATCATGCCCAGTCACGGTGGCTCACAACTATAACCGTAGCTACTCAGGAGGCTAAGATCAGAGGATCACAGTTCAAAGCAAGCCTGAGGATCACAGTTCAAAGCTAGCCTAGGAAAGAAAATCTATGAAACTCTTATCTCCAATTAGCCACCAAAAAAATCTCAAAGTAGAACAATACTCAAGTGGTAGAGGGCTAACCTTGAGCAAAAAAGCACAGGGACAGTGTGCAGGCCCTGAAGTTAGGCCTCCAGGACAGGCACCAAAAAGAAAAACAAAAAAAACAAACAAATAAACAAAGAAAGAGAGAAAGGGAGAAAGAGAAAGAAATCCTCCTATAGGAATTTATAGGTAGAGCCACAACTCTTGGGCTTTTTCTGCTGGAGACTACAGATTATACACACTGTATACAGCTTCATCTCAGATATTTTGAAAATCTTTATTGCAAGAAATTTGTTCACTGTGATTATCACTGGTATGGCCAGCTTGAGGCTAGTTTGAGCAATATAGTGAGATTTCATTTCAAAAAACTAACAAAATCTTCCAACAGAGTATATATCTACAGACCCATTAGCTATCATGTTGTCAGGGAAATGGCACTTCACAATTTATATAACCACTCACAACTTGACGACTCTCATCAAAGAGCAAGATACAATAATTTAAAGAAAACAGTGGACACTTTTTTTGTTGTTTTGTTTTGTTTTTGTCAGTTGTAGGGCTTGAACTCTGGGCCTGGGCGCTATCCCTCAGCTCTTCAGGTCAAGGTGAGCACTCTACCACTTGAGCTACAGCACCACTTCCGGTTTTCTGGTGGTTTATTGGAGATAGGAGTCTCACGGTCTTTCCTGCCCGAGTGGGCTTTGAGCCAAGATCCTCAGATCTCAGCCTCCTGAGTAGCTAGGATTACAGGCGTGAGCCACCAGCGCCCAGCTCATGGACACGTTTTTTAAAAGGACAAGGATATCCTGAGATGATTAAGTATTAAAATGACATTCAGTAAGAAACTAAATTTCTTACCCGTCCTTGTTGATGAGAACACTCCACACAGCTGACCTGGATGTTCCCATGCTTAGCACCAGGAATGATCTGCACACATTCAAAGTCACTTGCCAAAATAACAATATCACAGCCTGAACCATATGCCTACAAAGAAAACAATGGCATGTAAGACATCTATCTTTGGATTTTGGTATCAGTGTAAGAGGTATACTTTGACACGTTTTTTACATATTTCCAAATAAGAACTTTAAAATTCACATGAAAATAATGATAGCATTCCATGCAATAACTTCCAACAAAAAAAATCATATCAGGATGTGATATGAGTTTGGGCCTGAAAAATATCTACTCTTTATAACACATCTAGCAAGAACTGGAGTCACTATGAAGAAGGTATAACATGAATGGCCTTTTTATAAGCAAGTGTCCTACATGTGAGAAAGACACGGACAGGGAAGAGCAAAAGAAGGGAAGAAGAGAAGGGGGAGGAAAAGAAAATTCCTGGTAAATACTCAGCCTTCTTCTCTAAAGGCTGTCCACTCCTAGCAATTGCTACTGTAGACAAACACACTCTTACTACTTAATCACCGGAAAGACTTTTTACTCTTCCTTTTATGCCCTTAACTACCGAATATTTTTCAAAGCATATTACCACACTCCTTTGCTCTACAATAGTTCTCAAACCTGGCTGCATGAAAATTACTTAGATAACTTTTAAAAATACATAGACTCCCCTATGGCCCAGCAATACCACTCTGGGCATTTACCCAAATGATCACAAACAAGGCCATACTAAAATGACCAGCACAACTATGTTTACCACAGCATTATTTACCATAACTAAGATATGGAATCAACCCAGATGCCCCTCAGTAATCAGGAAAATGTGATACATATACATATACATACATACACACCCATACACATACACACACACATATACATACACACTCACACACATACATACACATACACACAATGGAATTCTATGCTTCCATCAAAAAGAATGACACTGCCCCATTTGTAAGAAAATGGAAAGACTTGGAAAAAATATTAAGTAAGTCAGACCCAAAGAAACATAGGTCCCATGGTTTCCCTTAATTGCAATAATTAGTATACATCTAGGATAATCTTAGCAGATAAGAAGAATAGCTCAATAGCTATGTACATATGACCATATAAGATGGCGCTAAGCGAAATGAATTCAAAGACATGGACACAAGAGGTTTTTCTTTGTTGTTGTTTTTAATGTACTATGTGATTTCTTGTTCCTTTTGTATGTTCTTCCCCCTATGGTATATCCCCTATTGTTACTGTATTTGATTTTGGTACCCTGGTATTGTATATACGTTTATTTAATTAGGGAAGGGAAGGGAACAACAGAATAGTAAAACAAAGGACAAGGGGAGAATCAATGCAACAGTGATCTACACAAGACAATACGTTGGCAATGGTCTGTACAACTTGGGATGAGGGGGAGGGAAAGTAGGAGAAAATTGAGGGAAGGGGTAACTAATTTGGCAAGAAAGGTACTCATTACCTTACTTATATAACATAACCCCTCTGGATCATCTTGAAATTAAAATATATATATATATGTATGTATACACACACACACACACACACACACACACACACACACACACACACACACACACACACACACACACACACACACACACACACACACACACACACACACACACACACACACACACACACAGATTGCTATTCTCACCCCAGACTTACTATACCAGACTCTTTTTTTCTTTTTTCTTTTGGTTGGTCATGGGGCTTGAACCTCTGGTCTTGGGCGCTGTCCCTGCACTCTTCAGCTCAAGGTGAGCGCTCTACCACTTGAGCCACAGCACCACTTCCAGTTTTCTAGTGGTTTATTGGAGATAAGAGTCTCACAGACTTTCCTGCCCAGGCTGGCTTTGAACTATGATCCTCAGATCTCAGCCTCCTGATTCTTTATGGATAAAAGTTGGCAATATCTATCAAAATTTTTAGCACAACATACCCTTTGATCAAACAATTCTCTATTTTTCCCTGTAAGTAGTTATAAAAGTTTTATAAAAATATATAAGGATATCATTGTCATATTATTTATAACAATATAAACTGGAAACAATCATACTGTCCATCAGATCAGTAGAGTTAAATTACTCAATCCATACACTGGAATACTATACAGCTACTAAAAGTTTAATTTAAGATGGTCTCAAATCCCTAATGGAACTATTAATTCTGTAAAATTCAGCAAATGATACCGCTCTCCTGTGGTATCACACCTAGATAGTACCTACTATTTCATATAATATCTACACACACTGTTAAAATGAAACCACTAGTCTACACTAATGGTTAGAAAAGGCACAAAGGGCCAGGCACCCGTGGCTCACACCTGTAATCCTAGCTCAAGGGGCTGAGATCTGAAGGTAGTGGTTCAAAGCCAGCCCAGGCAGGAAAGTCCATGAGACTCATCTCCAATAAACCACCAGAAAACTGGAAGAGGCGCACGCTGTAGCTCAAGTGGTAGAGCTGAAGAGCACAAAAAAAAAAAGAAAGAAAGAAAAGGCACAGAGGAAGAATATTCTTCATTTTCAAAAGATATTGGTCTGATGTAGAAAACACCCAAGTATGGAAGAATGGGGACTTGTCTCATTAGATATGTATTCTGAAACTGAAAATCCATGAGATCTGAATGTCTTTATACAATGTAATGATGCTAGCAAATGAACCATCAAGGCTAGGACTTTTCTTTATCCTTGTAAACCACTGTAATCCCACTATTAGCACTTAAGCTTCCCATAGTACATGTGGAGTTGAAAGAGGAGACATGACCTTGTTGTTAATAATCTGGCCAAGCTCCCTCACAAGCTGACTGTGACAATATCATGGATATAGAAGACCTGCCAGAGAAAATCAACCAACGCCTTCCCTGATAACTTACCATTTACTGAATATATCTTCTATGAGCTGGCAAGCAGTCTCCTAAGGTCTTTGTGAACATAATTATTAGGTACACAGGCTCTCTTTTTAAGTAATTTGTCTGGGTTCATAAAGTAAGGACTATTGTTTCATAATAAAGCTCTCGTCAGGCACAGTGACTCAACCCTGTAATCCAAGCTACTTGAAACTTGAAGATCATAGAGGATCATAGTTCAAGACCAGCCCAGGATGAAACTTCATCTGAACTAATGGCTGGGTGCAGTGGCATGCATATTTTAATCCAGCTTTGGGGAAGGCACAAGTAGGAAGACTGCAGCTCAGGCCAGCTCTGGTATAAGTACCTATCTTGAAATAACCAACATAAACAAGGGCTGAGGAAATAACTCAAGTGGTAGAACACCTGGCTTAGCCAATAGGAGGCCTGAATTCGTATCCCCAGTGCTGGAAGAAAAAAAAGCTCCTATACTTCCCACTGCATTACCATACCTCTACTCCATTGGTGCCATGAAATTTCTGTAATCCCAACAAATTTTCCACATCATCTAGTTCAGATGCCTAACATCAATAAACGTAGCATACAATAAACACCAGCAGTTGAGATAGTTTATTAAAACTCTATTATGACTGAAAAGATTTTCATTCTATTTTTTTGGTGGTGGTAGGTTTCGTTTATCTGAGACAAGGTCTCACTATGTAGCTCAGGCATGTTCCTGTTGTTTTATTGTTCTTATGGAAAAGAAACAAGTATCTTTTCATGTATTCATTAGCCTTTAAATTTCTTTCTCTGTAAACCGACAATTGGTGTTATTGGACCACTTGTCCATTGTCAACTAATGCCTGTCACCACCACCCACAAAACAAATCTTTCTCAGTATAGTTAAAAGAGCAGAAAAGACAGAATCTGAAAATAAGCTCTTCTTTCCGCATGACTGAGAATACAGTTACACCAACAGCTTAAAGTCCACTCAAGAATGCTGAATGAGCAAAGTAAACAAATCAGAAACTAAATAGTATCACAGAAAAAACTAGCCCATGTAAAGACCAGTGAAGCAATGCAACTATATGGTAAGCAAAGGGACAGCCCTTTTAAATTAAATCTCGCCTCAGGAAAATCTCCTCTCCTTGGGAAAGACCAAATTAACATAAGTGTATGGACACTTACAAGTTTCCATACAACAAAGCAAAGCTGCTAGTGGTATGTTGAATAAAAACTTAAAGCTTTAATACAAACATGTATGAATACAAATGTATTATCATGCTGGGTTACACTGGTCATGCCTGTAAGCCTAGCTGCTCAGGAAGCTGACATGAAGACTGAGATCTGGAGCAAGCCTGGACAGACAAATCTCATTCAGCAAAAAGCCAAACTAGAGTTGTGGCTCAAGTAATAGTGTGTCAGCCATGAGCAAAAAAGCCAAATAAGAGTTCAAAATCCTGACTTCAAGCCCCAGGACTGGCATGCAGACACACGCACACACACAAAATCTCTTTTCAAGAAAAAGGACAGAAAGAAATTAGGAAAATATTGTGTTTGTAACTAAGCAGTAAAAAAAAAAAAAAAAGTTTCTTTTGTTTTTGTTGGTTGTGGGGCTTGAACTCTGTGCCTGGGCGCTGTTCCTCAACTCTTCAGCTCAAAGCTAGCACTCTACCACCTGAGTCACAGCACCACTTCCAGTTTTCTGAGTAGTTTATTGGAGATAAGAGTCTTAAGGACTTTCCTGCCCCGGCTGGCTTTGAACTGCGATCCTCAGGTCTCAGCCTCCTGAGTAGAAAAAATAGTTTTTGCTTTGCTTCCTAACAACCTCAGAAAAGCAACTGATCTTCAAACAAAAAAATCCCAAGTTAGGGATTTAGTGATAGAACATGGGCAAGGCTCTGGGTTCAAATCCAAACACTAAACACATACATAAATAAAAAATAAAATATATGGAGATAGAGATACAGGAAGTAGGGGCTGGGAAGGTGGCTCAGTGGTAGAGCGCTTGCCTTGCATGCATGAGGCCCTGGGTTCGAATCCTCAGCACCACATAAGCAGAAAAAGCTGGAAGTGGCACTGTAGCTCAAGTGGTAGAGCACTAGCCTTGAGCTGAAGAGCTGAGGGACAGTGCCCAGGCCGAGTTCAAGCCCAACAACCGACAAAAAAAGAAAAAAAAAAAGAGAGAGAGATACAGGAAGTAGAGAGCACTGTTTAATTAAAATTTAGAAAAACAATGTTCGATATTAGTCAAAAGCTAATTTTGATAATTTACTAACAGAATAGATGGAGTTATAACAAATTTCTAAACACTATATTAAAGAAAAAAGTCCAGGGGCTGGGAACGTAGCTCAGTGGTAGAATGCTTGCCTTGCAAGCATGAGGCCCTGGGTTCGATTCCTCAGCACCACATAAACAGAAAAAGCCGGAAGTGGCGCTGTGGCTCCAGTGGCAGAGCGCTAGCCTTGCGCTTAAGAGCTGAGGGACAGCGCCCAGACCCAGAGTTC